TAATAAAATAATGATAATAATAACAATAATTTTCCTAGCTTTATAATCATATTATTAATTAAAGTTTGGTTTTATGAAGCAGAGTCCCTCTATGTAGCCCAGGCTGGCCTGGAACTTGCAGCCCTTCTCCCTCAACCTCCTGAATGCTGAGATTGCACGTGCTCACCAGTGACTCTGGCTTTAGGGTCAGAATCATACAGAAACATTTTCCTCTTTATTTTGAATAGAACTTTTCCTTGCCCTGAAATCCAATCTCACACACACACACACACACACACACACACACACACACACACACTTGTTGTTGGAAAAGATGGTCAACTACTGACGCAGAGAATAGTTTCATCATAGTTAGGTATTATATTTTTCTATTAGCGATAGTAACTGGAGCCAATACTTCAGATTACAGGTAGATGAGGCAGTTGCCACCTCCCATATGTTTTGGTTTTATTCCTGCCATTTTAACAGTTATAAGAAAAATGCAAAACCGTAATCAGCTATCAAGTGTCCTAACTATCATTTGTTTGTGCAAGCCTGGCTCCCGAGAAAGCAACAGGAAAGGCTGAGGCTTTGAGATTATACCAGCCATCTCGTGCTCTAAGTGTCAGACGCATCTCCTCACGGAGTCAGCCTTTTCCATCTTGATTTTTTAAGATGGCCTTCACCTTATAGTCCAGACTGGTCTTCAGCTTCCTCAGTGTGAGGTTAACCTTTGAAAAATCTTCTGGTCATAGTGTTCCTCCATATTTGGCTAACGTGAGGATGTCGTTCCTTCATAAGACACAGTGGGGTGGCTCAGGAACGGCATAGGTTGTTTCTTCTGCAGGTTTGCACCTTTCTGGGATGTTCTTGCTCTTGACCGAATCATCATCCCATGAGTGGGAGGCAACATTTCTAGACTTCGTCTCCAAAGGGATCTTCTGTTAAGCCCTCTGTCTTGAAACGGGATTATATCATGGTAGCAGTGCTAATAAAGGCATTTGGTGGGAAAACTTAAGGAACGAAGTTAAGATTTTAAGTGTACTATTGTGAAGGCCAGTTAAATTTTATAGTGTAATTTCACACATTTTGATCAAAAGCCAGACAAATTGAGATCACGCCCCACTCTAAATACCCCCAGATTCCCCCCATACCCCGACTTACCATTCTGAGCTTCAGTTGGAGAGTGTGTTAGCTCTTGCTTCCCAGACCTTTTGTGAGGATTAACTGGATGAGTGAAATATTTTACGAAGGACTTTGCAAGTGCCTGCCATGTGGTAGTGCCAGTGGGGGTTAGATCTTTAAATTCCTACTTTCAGTTTCTCCATTGTTTTCTACCTTTTCATTGTGGTTTGATGCCTTTTTGTGTTTATTTGGGATGGGGTCCACCTGTGTTGCTTAGATTTGCTTTAAATTCAAGATCCTCTTGCCTCCGCCTCTGAAGTACGGGATCACAGGCCTGTGCCACCATCGCCAAGGAGCTTAGCTTATGCTGGGTGTGTGTGGAGAAGTCTGTAACATTATATAGCCCTCCTTAGGATATCCTTATGAATACTGACACTTAGCTATGGACACATTTTTATACTTTATGCATAATTTTGTGTTTTCAGAAGCAGCAGCAGTGGGGGTACTTAATTAAAAAGGTTGAGCTGACAACATCCATCACAGGCTATCCCCCACTGGATACTGTGTGTCAGGGGCCTTTTATTTGGAGATCTGGATCAACCTGGCACACTGGCAGGGTAGAAAGCTGCCAGAGGTGTAGGCAGGATTGCTAGCTGGGGCTACAATATCTGAGGTGCATATAGATACAGACATTCTGTTTTCTCCTTCCTTATTCCCAAGTACTTTCTACTCTGCAATGACGTTTTAGAACTTTATAATGAATTGACCAGTGAAGGTATTCAGATTCTCACAGGTTAATCTTCCATAGCTGTGAACACCTGACAGATCTTGGATCCAAACTTAGAGTTTTATAATTCTAAAGGTCATGTAAGGTCAGTTGGTAAAGTACTTGCCACTCAACATGAGGACATGAGTTCTTATCCCTAGAACTCACAAAATTTGCTTGCTAGTCTTAAGAGGTTCATATATACTCTTATGAGTATTTTGTAGTCACACACAAAATCTTATTTTGTAGTTTAAAGTTTTAGCCTCATGTATTGGTGAATTTGAAAGGAACTAGTGGAATAGTGCAAACTGGTTCTGACAATGAAATTTGACTTAAACAATGGCTATGTTCATTATATAATCAACAGAGTACTCCCTTAAAATACACACAAACTAAGCATTCTATTTACAGTTAAAGTACTCCAAAAAGGAAAATCCAATTAAGAATATGTAATGTTTCAAATATTAGTTTTAACTATGTAGACAGATGTGGGAATTTCACTTTGTCAAATAATGTTTGTTTTTATTACAATACCATTACAGTATTTAGAATCTTGAGAAACTGAAGTACTTATTAATGTACCCCACGAGCCACGGAAATAGCTTACATCACTTGATACATGCTAAAGTGTCCTCAAGATGCTTGTGAAACCCATAAGTATGAGAATTCTAATATATATGTCGCGGTTCACACCTCCAGTCCCAGCTACAGCTACTGGAGTAGCTGAAGCAGGAAGATAACAAGTGTTGCTTGGCTACAAAGTGTGTTCAAGGCCTGCCTGTCTAATAGGGAGACTTTCTCTCTTATGGGGGTGGTGACTCGGGATGTAGCGTCGTGGTGTGTAAACTACACAAGCTAGCATGCCCAAGGCTCTAAGTTCAGGCACAAGTGCCATCAAAATTTTTTGGGAGAAGGCTGTTGAAATTGTATTCTACTGCAGGTCAGCTTTTTTTTTTTAAATGCAACACCTAGAATTTTTAAGATTAATGAATTTATTTTTCTAAAGTGTACACTCTCCTGGTTTGCGTGGCTATGAAGGTAGTTGTGCTGTGTTCAGATCCACTGGGAATTTTCACCGTGTTTCCCTCTCCTTGGAAGCTCGGCAGATTGATGTGGATGGCTAGCCAGGTCATGTAGGAGCGAAGGAAGAAGCTGCACTAAGAGTCTTTCATTCCTGCCCTGACAACACACATGGCCACACCCTGAAGGAGACAACAGCTTCTAGATAGCTACAGGAAGTCTATTGTTACCTTATAAATCTCAAATGATATCATGCCTTTTGAAATTAGTAGTTTTGCTGCCCTTGAATTTGGCAGTCACCTTGTGGCTTCTTTCAGAATGATGCCCTTATTTGTTCCGGATCTGTTTCTCAGTCGTACATCAAGATTTGTGGTTATTTTCTGGGCTACAGTTTCCGATTTCATTCATATTGACCAGTGCTTTAGTAGGAGAATAAGGGAATGTTTCGACAAACAGATAAGGAACTTTGAAGATCCGTGTTAAGTGCAAATAATAGTTGATTCCCACCTCCCCCACCCATCTCTATTGTTTATACAGTTTGTTAGGTATTTAATGGTACTTGAGACAAGTGGAATTTCCAGTGTTCTGCTGTGCTGGGTTTCTCTGTACAAGGACGACAAACAAAAGTCTCTTGGGCATTAAAGAAAGCTCTTCCTCTTTAAATAGCAGACAGAAATGATGGTTTAGTTTTTTTCTTAAACCCCGGTTTGAATTGCATGTGTAATTGCTGTATTGATCTGTATGAATAAGGACCCGGTCATTCTCCTTTACCTTTTTAAAGACACATGCTGACAACCTGGCTTCCACACGTGTCCTTATCTCCGGGTACTGGAAAAATTAGGCGAGCATATGGCCACTTCGCTCGCGTCCCAGAGCAGTCGCTGGATCTGGAGGGCCGGGAGGAGGAGCCTTTTTGCAAGGCAGAGTTCCCTTCCTTTTCTCTCTGCGGAGGTGCTGAGCGCCTGCTCTCACTCAGCACTCCCGAGCTCCAGCTGCAGGCTGCCTCCAAACAGACGCGGATTAGCCGCAGCCTTCCGGTGGGGTGCCCTCCAGGAAAGCCGGGGCCATGGGCCAGCTTTGCTGCTTCCCCTTCGCCAGAGACGAGGGCAAAATCTGTAAGTACCGCTTGCGCCTGGGTGAAGCCGTGGTGCTCGCCTATAATGTGGAGGTAGCCTTAGGGTTAGCTTTGGGGTTTTCCCGTGGGAATCAGCAGGGAAATGAGCTGTGGTTCTCAAATATGCATATAATGCAGTTGTGAAAGTACAGTGATAGGCTAACACTGGAAACTCATTCCTGATTCTCCTCTGCTGATATTCTTACAGCCCTGTTTCATGGCACTATCTAGCCAGAGTTTAGTTTTGAGTTTCTTTAAATCACTGCATTCGGTTCGTACATTATACAAGTCAGAGCCCCTTCCTGGGGGCTGAAAATGGCCAGCTTTGGGAGCAGCATTCAGTCATAGCATGACGGGGTGCTGTTGGTTCCAAAATGATGGGAACTGGACATTTGCAGATACTTTCACGTGTCCTCTGCTTTGTTCTTGCGGGAGGGTTCAGGTGTAACCGGAAAGCCATATCAAAGGAGTGGTGCTGCTTTGCCCTCGCTAAAATCTGGGTGAAAAAAATACGCTAAATATTGTATAATACATTTTAGCAAATGTCAGATAGATTCTGTATCTGCTTCTGGCCCATGAGGAATTCAGGTGGTGGTGTGTGGATCTGAAGACCCCCCCCCCCACTCCCCAGGCTTGCATGCATTCACTTACGTTCTAGCTAGTGTGTAGGCTGCTGGCTTCAGAATTAGTGTGAACAAGCTGTCTTATGCTACTTACCCCGAAACAGGGAATTTTACTTCCCTTCGAATGAAGTCTTTCCAGTCATACCTCTGAATTTGCAGCGTCTAACTGTCACACCAGTGTGAATCTCAAGTAGGTTCACAGAATTTCCTATCTAGCTCAGCTATTCTGAAGATCCCCATCTGGTTTGTGTTTCCTTCCATTTGTTCCTTAGAAAACCAAGCAAGGGCAGGTTTAAGAAGTTCATAGCCCTTCCATGCCCGTTATTCCCACAGGACTCCAGTCAGTTTTCCTAGGAAACCCTCTGGGAGGACTTTGGAATAAACGTTGAGAGACTTTGGAGCATTCAGCTTTTAACAAGGGCCAATAAATGTCTCTGAATTTACTTAAGAAAGTGATGCTGAGCAGCGTGACAGACCTGCTTTTATAACCCAAGACACACAAGTCACTTTCTAAGAGTAAGCATAAGCATGGACTGGACAGCTGGAACTTTCCAGTGTGTCAGAATGGCTTATCTCTAGTTCTGGAGATCCGAATGCATGGAGTCACTTGCTGGAGGCCATCCCTGTCTAAAAAGCCTTGGTGTGGACAGATACAAGGACAGGAGTTCTGTCTGATCCTCTCTCTGTGCCTCCTGTTCCTTTGTGTGGGCTTTCCGCCTGCATGGATTTGCTTTTGCTTCTGTCTGTGAGCAGTCTTCAGTGCAGTGACTGTGTCCCTTGCCGTTCTTATCCGGAACCACTGGCGTGGTTTTGCGTTTTAGACACAGTACTTCTAAAACTGATTCATAGGAAGTTCTCTTTAATGCCTTTTGGGTTCCCTTTCTCAAGTTCCAACCTTCCTAAAGGAAAATGGAGATAGCACTCTGTGTCGGAAGAACTTGAAGTTCAGTGCGTTCACGCCCCGCTTCCTCTCCACTCTCACCCAAGCTGACCACATCGTTCCTTCTCCTTCCTATCTTTGGTTTTTATCTTGACTTCATCGTTTTTTTTTCCCCCACACTCATTTACACATCTCATGCACAATGCGTGTGTATTGTAGACCAGCTTCTGAAGCTGTATTTTATTTCTACAGGGTGGTCTAAAGAGAAAGCATGTTGGGCATGGCTGTGCTGTCAGTAATACATGCCTAATGGGACTTACCAATTAGGGGTGTGTGTGAAAATATGGAAGAGGTTTCATTGCCCAGTGCATCTCAAGACGAGTATAAGTCAGCTCTGATTGGACATATCCAGTCCATAAGTTGTATTGGTAATGCATGGGGAAAAAAATCTACAGAAGGCATTCGAGAGGGCCCAGAGTCATTTTGCTCTTGTGACTGGGTTGTACAGGCACAGTTTCTTGCTGTGTTCCTAGAGACTGAGTAGTGTTGGCAGCCTGCTCCGAGGCAGCTGCTCTTTGAGCATCTACAGGGGGCAGAGCACAAAAGTGCTCATGCCCATGTCCCTCTCCTACTTCTGTCATAAAGGGTCATGGCCTTGCACTGTTTTTCCAGAGGGTAGCTCAAATTAGAGATCTATGGGATTTTGGTGAAAACTTCAATTTGTGGGTATCATTCTCAAAACACAGGTGAGTTGGGAAGCCCATCCTCCGCAGTCCTCCAGAGATACAGCGAGGATAGACCCAACGGGCCAAGTGGTAAGAGTCAAGTGGTACCTCTCTCCTCTTCCTGTTTTTACCTTGCTCTGGTCCTTTGGTGGTGGTGCTGATGGAGGAAAGGGATTTTGATATAATTGATTCATTAGTGCTACCATTTTAATCAATTAATAGCAAGCAAAATGGTTCTCTAATCAACCAGCTGTACAAGGGCCCAAGTTCATACTGAAAGTTGTCTGTTCATACCTGGAACTCTTGCAAATGGGGTAATAGCAGAAATCATCATGGTTCGTGTACTAGGTGATCAACTACAAGCAGCAACACCATTTTTGTCTGAATCCCAGTGGTTGAACACATACATACACACACACACACACACACACATACACACACACACATTATTTTAAATCACAGTGAATAGAATATATTGAAAAATTAGTTGATGATTCTTAGAAAATTCTATTTATATATTTTATATGGGAATATTCCTGACATTAAAATAATTTCAGATGTGGTAGCAATAACAAATGTTTTAGCTATTTTTCAACATAGCTTTTTTCATAATTCAAAAAATTTCATAGATTTTTTTTTCTAGGACTTGTTTCCCCCTTAAATTACCCAGTTGTCAGTAGTCTGAGAAGCAGTCACTTTTGCCTGAACGAAAGTGGCATGGCATAGGTGTACCTACTACCACTCAATTCCTCATTAAGGAAACCTCGATGGAAACTTGACAATTAGACACCTCTCTAAGTAATTAGGCACCTCGATAACTTATTGCTCAGCATTCTCATTGCTCTTCTCCCACTGCGCATATTTCTGTTTTGAAGCACTCTGCCTTTGTGTAGAATTAGTAGGTGAATAGCCATAGATGGTGTGAACTGCGAATCGAGACAGGTAGTCTCTTACTGCAAGTGTGCAGGCAGAAGGGGGCCAACCACTCATTACTAGGGATTTTACAAGGGCAACGGCCAACAAAGCAATAGACCGACAACTCGGTTACTCTCCCACATTGGGGTTCTGTGACACTGCTCTTCTGTTTTCTATGTTACATGGCTTCATGGTTATATTTCACATATCTGCTCCATCTTAGCACATGGGTTTCCAGCACCTCACATTCAGGACATGGTATGTGTTCCTGTGGTTGTGCCAGACTCTGAAAATGTCTTACCCCCAGGAGCCATATTGTGAGTGCTTGTCGATGAAGAGGATGGTACGAATTTCCTGTTGGGCTACAAGTATGGGAGAACCTGGGATGCCTATGTTTAAAAACTGTGGATGGTTGTTGTGGTGGCAGAGATGAATTAAGAGTTAAGAGCGCATGCTGTTCTTTTTTATTTTACTTTTATTGAAAACAGATCTTTTCCTACACAATATATTCTGATTATCATTTCCCTTCCCCAACTCCTCCCAGTTCCTCTCCACTTCCACATTCTTCCTGTCTCTCCTCAGAAAGCAAACAGGCATCTAAGGACCAATAATGAAATAAAATAAGATAAATCCCAAACAATTTGTAATAGGACAAAGAATAAAAAAAGAAAAAAGAGCCAAAAAAAAAAGCACAAGGAGCACGCATAGACGTAGAGACATAATGTGTTCTCACACAAGGAACCCTATAAAAGCACAAAACCGGAAGCCATAATATATACACAGAGGACCTGTAAGGTTAAAAGAAAAATGCCCTGACACAACATTATGAGACAAAGATCCAAAGATGCCATTGAGTTCGTTTTGTGTTGGCATACATGGCTGGGCATGGGGCCCGCCCTTAAGAGTGGTTTGTTTCCCCAGTGAGACTCTCTTGGAGAAAAGTAGTTTTTAATTCACAAATGGTTATCAATTGGAGATAGCTTCTGGGTTGGGGTTGGGAGTGTGTGCCCACTTCTCTCAGCCCTGGGACCCCATCTGGTGCAGACCTGAGCTCAGTCTCTGTGAGCTCATGTACAAGAACATACTGTTCCTCCAGAGGACCCCAGTTTGGATCCCAGGACCCACCCTGGGAAACTTATGACTGCCTGTAACCCCGGGTCCAGGGGACTCTAATAGCTGTGGCCTCTGAAAGCGCTTGTCCTCGTGTCCACACACCCAGCCCTCTCTCACACACTTAAAAATAAATCATAAACAACAACAGTAAAACCCACAATACCCCAAACCCCTAAGACATACTAATGACAAGATAATAGGTTTTTAATCAACCAATCAATCAATCAATCAATCAATCAAAAACTACTATGGAGCTGGAGAGATGGCTCAGCAGTTAAAGTCACTAGCTGCTTTTCTAGAGGATCAGAGTTTGAATCCTAGTACCAAGCTCACAACTGCCTGTAACTCCAGCTCCAAGGAATTCAATACCCTCAGTTGACCTCAGTGGGCACAAATGCACTGTGGCATGCATTCATGCAGACACAAAACATCAAAGTCTTTTTTAAAAGTATTAGGATTTTGAAAGTTTATTCATTCCCCCATTTGCTTCTTAGTGCTAAAAGGCTAGGAACTACAGGACTCATGCAGATACAGCTTTTTAAAAACTCTCTCCTTTCTCTTTTTCTACCTCCACTTTGGCTTTTTTTATTTTATTGGATGCCGATCATCTGCCAGGTACTGTGCCAGGATTATTTTCAAAATGTTCATGAGCTACAATTATTAGATATATGCTTCCCGGCTGCCTTGTTTCCGAGGGAAAGTTATTGGCAGCCAGAGAAGTGGGGAATTTCTCAGTTATAGTCCTCTGGGATACTGGGACTAACGCTGGCAGAAAGCCTGGATCCCAGGCTGCTCAGTATCTATTACCCCTTCTGACGCAGAGAAACCGGTGTGTGGTAACCCAAGACTGCACTGTGCATAACGTCTCTTTGGGTAATGTAGTGGTGGTGGCCGTCACGGCATACACTGTAAAACAGTTAGCCATAGTCAGTACTGATTAGATTTCCCCTTGCTAAGTGATGTCCGCCCAGGAGGTTTGTTTCTAAACTTGAGCATGGGACCGTGAGAGCCAAGGCCAGCAGTTGCTGCTCTTGTTCCACCTCCCTGCTTGTGTTCTGCAGGCTGCGGCAGCCACTGTATTTCCTTTTCTTGGTCTCAGGGCTTTTGAACATTGCAGGAAATGCTGGATAATTTTCCTTGGGAGAATCTGGGTTGTAGGATTATTCCCAGTCTTCAGGCGACCTGTCCTTTGGTCCCCTTTCCTGGAGGCACAACAGAAAGGAGTCAGGGCTTCTGATGGATCGCGTTCTCCGACAGTGTGCTACGACCTCATAGTCTCAGAGGAGTTTCAGGAGCTAGTGTAAACCTCACAACCTTTGAGGGCTTGTGGGACAGAGTTTCCCATAGATTGTTGAATTGTGGCTGTTTTACCCACAGTACGGAGACTCGGAAGAGCTTCTATGTGTTTAGTGCCATGCGGTAGACCATGCAGGTTTTTGGAAACAGACTGACCCAGTTTGTAATTCTTGTTCTCATATTTACCGTTTAACTTCTTTACTTTGTACCCTGATATTAAGTAGTATATACCTGTCATGAAAATTAAATAATCAAGATTTGGCGAATATTTATAACATGTCTGTCTGCTAGCTGTCCTTTAGTATACTTGGTGAGTGGATTTTCTACAATAGATAAGGACTATGTTAATGGCAACTCAGTTTGGCACAATAGTGGCTTTATTTTTCCTTTGCCACAGACAAGGAATTAGGATTTAGAATTTCAACCTCACGCAATATCCTTTCTTTCGAAAATTCCCTACATGTGTTCCCCAGGTCCTGTCTATCATAATGTTTTGTTTCCTGCCCTGGGAGAAAGGTGTGGTCCATACATTGTCAACCCAGTTTTCTTAAGATTCCATAGAAAGCCATTTTAAAACAAACTCTCAAAGATAATAGAAGAGCCGGAGAGAAGAAAGGCCATGTCTGAGACCTTCTCCATTCCCTCCATAAAGCAGTATATACTTGCCCATTCTTTGTTGAACTTAGTTCACTAAACTTTTATCACCCGCAGCCACAGACTTTGGACGTATTCTAGTGGACTTTCCATGTGTATAGTAGGTATGACTCCCTAGTTCTGCCAAGCTGACTTAAAATATAGCTGTGATTATACAATTAACACATTCTTTTTGTTGCCAAGAAGTTATATTTACCAAGTTTATTATGTGCCAACCTCCAGTGTGTATTCTGGTAGAAAGATCATTAACCCCAGTAAAAAGCGACAACTCCCTAATCACTCCCCCTCTCCTTCCCCGCCCCCAGACAGGGTTTCTATGTGCAGGCCTGGCTGTCCTGGAACTTACTCTGTAGACCAGGCTGGCCTCAAGCTGACAGAATCCACCTGCCTCTGCCTCTGGAGTGCTGGGATTAAAGGCAGGCACCACCACTGCCTGGCCATTCCCTGTTTTCTTATAAACATCCATTCTGCATTTGGCTGCAGTGAGATCTGGCCTTTTGTGAGAGGTGCTCAGCAGAATGTGTCCTGTTTCAGCTCACAAGGCTGAGCATTCCCCGTCTGGAAAGCTCTGACCAGGTGTTCAGAGGACCCGGGGATGAGTGATGCAAAGTTATTGTTATTGGAAGTTTCTTTTTAAATTTACATGACTTTTTAAAGCCGAAAGCTGATGGATTTATTTTATTGTCCTCTCAGTAGTACAAGTCTTTTCTGTCTAGCAGGTGATGCCACGCCCTTCCTAGGCCAGGAAGGTTGCAGAACTAAGTCAGCCAAGGCCAGGCAGGGCAGGTTAATTGCCACAGAGACTGGCAGTTGCTTTAAGCCGTTCTTATAGGTGGCTTTTTACAACCTGACATGAGCAAACACAGCTTCTACAAAACACATTTTAGGAAATTAATTGCCCCGTGACGAACATTCATAATGTCAGAGTTAGAAGTTAACAGACCTTGGAACTATTAAAATAAATCTTTCAGTTGGGAAACAGTCAGAGACAAAACCTGAAAAAAGGAGTAAGTGTAACTTGCATTTAAATGCTGTAGTAACTGGGGTGCAAATGCTAGTTCCATTATAAGTCAAATAAAATATGTTTGAAACATATTTTTTTGTTTTCATGT